AATCATTTGATTGTGATGGTCGTTTACAACTTTATGTGTCTAATGAAGGATTAGCAATTCCATATGTTTCTCCATTACTTGCTGAAAGTTTGGGTGGTTTACCACCAATTTTAGTGGTAAATACTTTTTTTAAAAATTTTTTAAATGCTTATATACTAAACCTCATGATGATAAAAAATAATTTTTTGTTATATAGCAAGTAGGTGATGTAGAAGTATTAAGAGATCAGAATATTTATTTGGCTTATAAAGCCGCTAATCCAGAAAAATACAGTTTGCCAAATTACAATGCTGAAAAGTTTGAAAAGTCACCTTATAAAACGCCTACAAAAGTTATTCTTGAGGTTTATGAAGAAATGCCTCATGACTTCCAGGTAATTTTCACAAATTTTAATTAATTATGCAAATAATAATAATAATAATAATATTATTATTATTTTCAAAATAGCTGCTTTGGGACATACATCCATCACAAAAGATAGCCATGAAACGAGTGAATGAATTTATTGAACAATTATTATCAGGCGAAGAAGGGGAGAAAGGATTAAAAGCCTTACGTGTAACGGGTAAAGGTGAAATTATCGAAGAATTAAAAGAGGAGCATTACAAGGTACTTGAATGTGAAAATATTGGTGTTGTTTCTATTGGAAAGCTTCGTGGTTATAGACGTAACAATAACAATCAATGATAATAAGTGTGATGTTTTTTTGAGATTCCATGTTATTTAATTAATTGTTATCATTATACAAGTATATGTCGAAACTTCCATTGTTTGAAATTTTATTTTTTTAGTAATTGTTGTTTATTTATTGTCTTAATCAACTGTTAATTTAATTAAATTAATAATTATTTTTTATTATTAAATACATGAGTGAAACCCACACATCACGTGTGCAAAATTTAGATTAATTTCATGTAGAAATGTAGTTATAAATATGCGTATTGCTTTCCTTTCATTTTATTATATAATTTCAAAACAATTGTTTTTGAAAAAAATCAAATTTTATTATATAAATTGGGTCCAGTTTCTAAGCTAAAAATGTTCTTTGAAAAACGTTGCACATTGAGGGTAGTCTTATTATGGAACTAGGTTGTATTTTTTCTATTGAAAAGACCCATTCATTAATAATTTCCATCACTAAAAAAATTTGACCAGATTTCTTTAAAAATAATTGGAGTTCTTTAAATATACGCTTTTAGGGAACGAATGAGCAATATTTGAAGAAAATTCGCGTCACTTTTCCAAGTAGTGTTTTTTCGATTTTTACAATACTCTTTATAATGAAGATATTATTATATTTATTTATTTTTTACAGGTAATAAATAAATAATGAAGCCGATATCAACTACAATGATCATTATATACCAATAAAAATAACAATAACATTGCTGTTTATTAAGGAATGAAAGTCATTCAAGTCAAAATTGTATAAGTAATTATTGCACATACTATTATATATAATAAAAATAAAACAAAGCTAAAAAAAAGTTTTTGTCTACATACTATCAAATTTTTTTCCTGTTTTTTTTACCCTTTTTTGTATTATTTCCTGTATTATTATTTTGTCCAATTTTTATGATTTTGATTCATGAATTTGTCTACAGCTTCAAGTTGACTAACACAAAACTTATATATTCCAAATGTATGTGAAACTAAAAATGTATTTGGAAATAAATCAATTATTGCTTGATCAATTTCTGAAAACCAGAGATTCAATTTCACATCTGTTAAATAAACACTCAATGGACTGTTTGAGTAATCTTTTGATTCTACCAACAAAAATCTCAACATAAATCTTTTCAATGCTACAATAAGTGCATCTGCTGGTATTTTTTTTGCTTTTTGTTTAACTGTCAATGCTGATTGTTGTTGATTATTAGTAAAATCAACTACAGCTACAATTTTATTCTCTTGTTCTGGTGTCAATCCTTCTTTATAAGCATCATTAATATATTTAATCATCTGTTCTTCTACAAATTCATACAATGCCACTATATGCTTTAAGGATAGATCTGCATTTAATAAATTTGCAAATGCAGGTTTCATCATCAATGATGATAGCTTCATCCATTGTGTCACATAATTTTGTATTAACATGTCCTCCTGCCCTATTGCATTGTGCTTAATGAAACATAAAAGCACATCCAGTGATGATAAAATGTCACTTGCATCATCCAAACTATAATTATTTGTATATTGTGATGATGATATAAATATATTATTATTTATGTTTCCTGCTTCTCTAATCAATGATAATTTTTCAGTAGGAATAGGTTCTTGTGGAATTATATTTTTAATATCACTGAGAATTCTCAAATATCCTTGGAACAATTCCATATGGTATGAAAATGGTTTTAAATATAATAGTGAATCTTGTACAGTTTCAATATATGCTTTATCAAATACCAACCAATATGCAAGTTCAAGTTCAATCTTTTGCAAATCATAAATAACATCATCTCCATGACCAATAGCAAGGTTTCTTTGGCAATATTGAAGAATATCTTCATCCCACTCATAATCAATTATATTTGACTTTCTTAATTGGCTTGCTTTTGATGATTGTAGATAATATTGTTTAGATATCTGTGGATTATTGGCTTGAGCTGTTGTTGAGCTAGTACTATCACCATCACCAGATGTTGATTCAGCATCAACTTGAGATGGTTCTTCTAAAAATTTTAATGATTTACAAGATCCATTTGGAATTGCTATGATTTCTTGTAAGAAATTGTTTTGTAATGTTACAAGGTAATTTATAATTGCACAAATAAACATCCCTGTATCTTCTTCTTCAATTATTGCAAAAGCAATTGGGTCATCTAAAGACAATCTAGGAATAACTGATTTAAACTCATGACACTGATATCTTTTGACTTGATCATGCACTGCATTCCATGCTTCTGAAAATTCATCAAATGCTTTTGTTAATGTTTCATGTATCTCTCCAAATATTCTTCCATTTGATTCATCATCTATAAATTCTTTGAATGATTTATTATGAGCATCTTTTCTATTGATTCTATACTCAAGCCTTGATGTTAATATCTCAGCAAATTTAATAATGGGGAAAAGATGTTTGATCTGTATTAAATTTTCAGAATGTTTAAAAAATATTGAAAGAAATGGATATGTTTTATTGTTATTGATTTGATCAGCAAGGTAATATGTTCTGAAACTTTCAAAGCTTATTGTTCCTATTGTTCTCCAAAGATTTGGTAAATATTCAACTTTGTAGTCATTATCCATATCTATAGTCTGATTAATTTCAGATTCAATTATATTAGTATTTCCATTTACTTTTTTTAATGCTGCATCTAATTTTCTATGGAAATTTGTAACAGATTCATTAAAGCTTTTTGTTTGTGGCTCAACATAATCTTTAGTAAATTGTAATTCCCATTTGTCTCGTTGAACAGGGGTTGTAATTACTGATGGACCACCAGTATAAAGTTTTTTTGACATTTCTGTTAGAATTGAATGTAACAATAATGCTAAATGTTCATTATTGCAATTGAAAATATTTTTAAGTACTTTCCAGTCATTCTGTATATGTCTAAAGCAATATTCTTCAGCATTACTGGTAATTTGTTTCAAGAAATCATTAGCACTATTTGAAGAACCAATCAATGCATGAACAATTAAATGTAAGATGCGATATGCATTTGGTGGCATAGTACGAACTGAATGGCCAATTTCAGGTTCAAATAGATCTTCAACATAACCAGGTTGATTCACAACTGTTACATTTATCTGGGATGTACTATCCAATCTTTTATTACCAGAAGCTGTTTTATTAGCTGCATCTCCAATTGTATTGTTTTTACACTGTGGACATTTACTTGCTTCTATTGCATGACCACATTGACATGAATATCTAAAATTATTTAAAAAATTATTATTATCATCATCACCATCATGTAAAATAAATAAATCTGAACTTTTACCTTGTTAATTGTTCAACAGATGTTGAAGCATTCATGATAGCTGATTCATTATCAGCTTGTGATGTTAAAATATAATGTGTATGACAATTTTGTAGATTATTTAAATATACAGTTAATGGTGATGAGTCTGCAGGAATTGATGAATGTAAGATTAAAATATGACTAATTACAGATTTAATTAACAAAGTTTCATTTGTTGCTCTGGTGTTTAGTTGAAGTAATGGATGTTTATTTTGTAGAATATTATCAATTATTTGTCTATAAAGTGGTGTAAGCATCTTCATTCCATTAATTTCAGTTTTAAGATCATCAATAGCAATATCATAATTAAGAGTCCATTCATCTAATGCATGAGCTAAATGTATATGTTGTACAACTACTCCACCAAATGCAATTCTATGTTCTATTGATTCATTTTTTTGTACAGATTCTAGGAAGATCTTAATTGGTGCTTTATTTTTAAGTATATATAAACTAGAAAATCCTTTATCAGCTTCTACATATGCATCTAAGGCCCAGTAAGGATTAAATGAAAGTCTATTTTGAGAATGATCTCCCCATACAATACTTGCAAGCCATGGAAGTGTGTTATTTTGTCTATTGCAAAATTGTTTTATATTATTAAGTGGAAGATTGTGCCAATTAAGTAAGATTCTTAGAAAATATATTTTTAATGAGTGGATTAATGGACTTGGTATACTCATAAAATTATTGATTTTTTTAATTAAAGCTGCTCCATCAAAATCCATACCAATTAAATTGAAAACAATTGGTTGGTGATAATTGTGTTCTTGGATACATTCATTCCAGAATCCTTCAACAAATTTTTTAAGTAGAGCAATTGCAGTTATTTTTTGTAATGGTTCTGTTCTAAAACTAATTATAGCTTGAGCTGCAAATCCAAAATGATTTGCTAAATCTGATAGTTCAAATGTTGCTGCAAATAATGATTGAATAACATCACAACATAATGTTGACATCATAGAATCAAGTCCTTGATTTTTAAGACAAGTATTTATTACATTTAATCTTGCTGAATCACAGATAGTCAAATTTGTATTTTTTAAAATAGTCAAGAGAATACTTTCATCTTCATCTTTATCTTTATCTTCTTGCAAGAATATACATTGTATTATTGCACCCATGAGTGGAAATGGTCTTTGACTGAAAATTCTACCATATAGATACAGTCTAAGTTTTGATTCAAGATCAATCATATCAAGACATCTAAGAATAAATGATCCACTTGAAATAAGATTCTTTTCAGTTGGCTCCATTTGATAAAAAACATCAAGTATTTTATTAATAAACTCAGCTGAAAACATTTCTTTTTGATTTGAATTTTTTCCAAGTGTAATTATTTCTTTGACATTAGATAATGGAATGGTTTTTGTTGATATAAAATCATTACAAATAAGTAATATTTGAAGTGAAGGCAATGGCTGACCTTTCAAAACTTTTGCTCCAAATGATAAAATTTTTGTAACATCATGCTGCCATTGTTCAAACATATATGAATTGTACATTAGATTCTGTGATTCACTAATATCCTGTAACATTATTCCTGCAATCTCTCTAACTAAGGAATATTCAAAAGATTCTGAATTATTACAAGCTGTTATCTTGTCAATAACCATTGGACATATTTTAATTAATTGAGATTCAGCTAAGACAGTATTTGAATTCCTCCACCAATATGCATGTAAGAATCCTGGATCTAAAAAATTTTCTTCTCCCATAAGTCTTTGAAGTAAAAGTGACAAAATTTTTGGATTTCTGTTACCAGAAGAATCATTGGATGAAACTACTGCAACAAAATCATTAAAATACAGATCTGGAAATAAATTCAATGATGATTTTTTGAATGATGGTATAGAATTTATAACAGCAATTGAAAATTTTTTTGTATAATCATTAAAGAGATGTTGGTAAAGTTCACCAGTTTGTTCATCAATATTTTCCTTCTTTTCTTTATGCCAATTTATTTCATCTTCAAATAGCTGTTTAAATGAATCAATTCTTTTCATAAAATATAGTGAAAATGGGAATTCAAGATCATAATTATTGACAGGCATAGTATATACATCTGGTTTAGGATCTGATATTTCTTCTATGTTTACAATTTTTGGATCCATAAAACATTCTATCCAGAATTCAAGTAATTTATGAAATTGTTCTACTTCTATTTTTTGTGATCTATCAATCAAAAGCAAAGTTCTGGTTGCTGATAACCTTTCAATTGCACATAAAAGTTTTGCAATTGGTTTTCGAATAATGATATGTAAATATGCTTGTAATGCACCTGAAAATGAAGAATATGGGTATAAAAGTTTTTTGTCTGATGCAACTTTACTTTGCCAATTTGTTTCAGAATTTGTTTCCAGCCATTTTTGTGTTCTGTCTTTTAAACATGTGACCAGATTTTTATTATTTGGAATTTGCATAATTAGATCTCTAAAATAAAAACAGCATCATTTTAAAAATCAATTACTAAAATAAATAAATTGCATTAAAATTTTTAAATAAATAAATAAATATATACATACCTAATATGATCCAATGATTTTTGTGAATGGGGATATTTCATGCATGATAAACACCATGGCAATTCTTGTTTCAAGATATCTTCAAATGGATATGTAGTATTGATAATATCAATCATAGGTTTTTCCAAAAGGCTCAATAAAGGTTTATCTTGGACTTGTAATGTTTCAATAGTAATTTGCTCCCATCCACACATGAAATTAAATGAAACAAAAGGTGTTTCTTGCTCATGGTGAATATGTAAAATTATGCATGCATGTTTCATTGGAATTTTGTTATTACTATAGTATCTTTTAATTAAGAATTCTTCACGTAATTGTTCAATAACAAATTTAGCTAATTTAATACATCCCACATTGACATTTATTATATCACATTGAAGAATTAACATTTGTTTATTAGATTCCAACCAAAAATGTTTGATTCTATTTTGAAACTGTGTTTCAGACTTGAATGTTGAAAGTTTATCTACTTGACAATTGATCTTATTTGACAGGCAAGCTTCTATATCAGTATTGATGTTTGAAAATGTATTAACAATAACTTGTTTTCCTTCTGCATATAGTGTATATGGATCATTTTGTCTCAATAATGCATTAAAATAATCAAAAAGACTATTATGATGTTGTAGTTTAAAATAATACTCTTTCCATTTAAGTACCTCTTCATGGTTCAATAAAGAATTTTCAGATCTAACCATACCATCTGAAGTTGCTATAGCAACAAGACATTCTTTGCATTTTTCAAGTATTTCTTCATTGTCAGCATCTGGATATTTTCTTTTTATATTTATAACCAAACTTTGTATAGTTTCATTAGAATCAAAACCAATAAATAAATCTTGTTGTTCAAATTTATTGTGTGATTGAGACCCTGCATTTCTTCCTGAAACCATAGAAAATGTTTTCACCCAGTCATTTAATTTAGCAACAAGCTCAAATTCCTCATCTGCCAATATATCATTAATTACCAATTTTTGCTTTTCAAATCTATTCAAAAGTGATGGATCAGCATATAGTAAATTTTTCTCTTCCAAAACAAGAATGCATCTAAAGTCCTTGTGAACAAATCTAATAAAATACAAGATAATATTTATTAGTGTAAAAAATAATATAATATGTATATTATTTATTTATCAATCATACATACAACATTGGATTCACATATGCCCCCAATGTAACTCTAGTATAATATTTAGGGTTATCATTGTTTCCCATAACAATATAATTTTGATTCCATAAATCGTAAAGGCTTCCTGTGATTATAAAAAATATAAAAAATGTTAATCATTATCATCAGAAAAGATTTCAAAAAAAACATACTTGCCATAAATAACTTCCAAATCTGTCAAAATTAAAATTAATGGTCTTCCTGCTTCAATGCACATCTAAAAAAAACAATAATAAATAAGATTTAATTTATAACAATATAAAAATATAAATATAAACTTTTTGAACTTGCCATAATTCTATTTAAAATGTTATATGAATAATCATCTTGATCTTCAGGAAATTGTGAGCCTAATATTATAACAGGATCCAGTTGCCTTTGCTGCAACTCATAGTTTAATATATTTACTATTGATTCACCTTTTCCTATAACCATTAAATGCCTTGCATCATTATCATCCAAGTTTTCTCTGATTAAATTTAAAACAGGTATTGATTTATAACTTCTATGTTGGTAATTATTAAATGCATTTAATACTTCTCCAAAATAATCTTCACATAATTTTTTATGTTCTCCAGTCCCACCAAAATTACGTGCTAATGCCATTTGAATATTATCAGTAGTCATTTCTTTTGATGAAAGACTTTTAACCAAAGCATAATAATCTCGAAGACCATGGAAATTTGGGAATGTTTGCCCATTTTGTTCATATTCAGAATATGCCACAGCTAATGGTTTTAAAGCTGCTCTTTTAATATTTTTGTTTATTAATAAATGCTGTGCTGTATCAACTAAGTCATCCAAACTAAATTTAGGTCTAATTAAATGTATTTAAAATATGTTTATAAATAAATTTATTCTTGATAAAACTAATAAAATCAAATAAAGTATAATACAACAAACCTTTGTACTAATAGAGCTCTACTACTTTTACTATTATCTAATCTCCAATTGAAAATACCAATTACAGAAACTTTTGGGCCATCTGCTGGATAGCTTGGTTCAAGCAGAGAATGAAGTGCTTTTAATGGATTGAAAGGATTAATTTCAGCCAACCCAACTGAATAATTATAGAAGATTTGTTGTCATTAATACAATTTAATAAATCAAATAATCAAATAATCAATATAATTTTGTAAAAAATTAATAAAGCACCATTATCCAATAATACAACACTGATTACAGGAAATTCTTTACTACTTGTATCTTGATATTTATCGGCCTTTTCAAAAACCTTTAAGATACCTTCTGAAGTAGATAATGTAGATCCTTTATGTGTAATGAGATACACCTTATAAAAAAGTTTTTTTTATTAAATAAATTAATTTAAATGAAAAATCTTTATAGCAATAAACTAAATTAATACCTGGGGCAATGTTTTGAAATAAGGATCATTTGAATTTGTGCCACATAAATTTTGACTCACAAGCCTTACTGCCAAGGATTTTGAAGATCTATTAAACAGATGATCAATTAATAATATTCAATAATATAATATTAATATTAACCAGAACATATTTTAAAACTGACCCAGTTGAACCAATAATGAATACTGGGATTTTGGTTAACATGCACACTATCATAACCAAGACATTTTCTAACAATGCTTCAT